AAATCTAATCTTTTGTTTTAACCACTTGCCTTCCGGAAGATTTTACCCCCTTCATGACCAGACCATTTTTTCTTACTATTCAGCACTGCGCTACTTTAATTGGCAATTGCTTGGTCATGGAACACTGTACACAATATCATTTTTGGTGGGTTTTTATTTTTTTTGGGGTTTTTTTTTTGCTATATATATTAAAAAAGACTGAAAATTTAAAAAAAAAAAAAACAATTTTCTGCTTTCCATTAAACAACATCCAATAAAATCAAATGTATTCAGAAATTTAGGCTAGAATGTATTCTGCTATATGCCTTTGGTAAAAACCCAATAAGTGTATATTAATTGCTTTGTGTGAAAGTTATAGTGTCTACAAACTATGGTATTTATATTTCAAATCTGATCAATTCTGATGAACTGACTGCCCGTCTCATTTCTTGAGTCCTATAAACCGCCAGGACAGTAGAAATACCCCCCTAACTACCCCGTTTGGAATAGCAGACAGTCAGTGATATTTAGTAAGAGGTATGGTAATTTTTTTTATTTTTTTGTCACAATTTTTTTGAAAATGAAGACATTAAATAAAACTTGTTTTTTTTTTTTTTTTTTTAAATATTTTCTACATACTGTAATCAGTGTAGTACAGCATCATCATATGACTGGCGTGATGGGGATCAGATACATTGACTGGTGACAGTATGTAAAAAAAAAAATAAATGTAAAAAATATTTAATTCACATTTTTTAAATATTGTGAAACATTTTATGTTCCTTTTTTAAAAATGTTTTTCTTTTTTTACAATTTTTTTTCCAAACTTTCGTCAGAGTAGAAAAGTGTAACCATAGTAACACTGTACTACTCTGGGAGGAAAGTGTAATTGGGGATTTTTTTTTACACTTCAAAAGTTACAATGATGACCACTGTAACAGCAATGTTTTGAACTGTCATGAATAAGCTACCTTAATTTTTTTTTTATTATCTTTATTCAGATTTTCAATTTTCCTTTTCACAAAATTACAAAAGAAAATAAAATAAGAGGGAACCAGGCAGGAGACAAAAGCAATAAAGGAACAAATGAAAAAAAGAAAAAAGAAAAAGCAGATTAACTAAACGGAATATACACTTCAAGACAAATAGTGAGAGCCTACCTTCTCAACAGATGTGATTACTAGTGATCTGTGATTGGCTACAGCTAATCACAGGGTACAGGGTGCTGTGATTGGCCTAGGTACCATGTGATAGCTGTGGGCCAATCACAGCATTACTCTATAGCAAGGGTCTCCAAACTTTTTAAAGAAAGGGCCAGTTTACTGTCCTTCAGGCATTAGGGGGCCGGACTGTGACCGGTGGGATTAAACAATGCCGCTGTTTGGTATTAGGGGGAGAAATAGTTGGTGTCAGTGGCAGGAATTATGCCCCATTGTTGTTGTAGTTGGCATAAATAATGCCTCAAGGGCCGAATAAAAGCAAGCAAAGGGCCGCAATTTGAAGAACACTGCTCTATAGGAAGCACGGCTGTTATGAATGACGTTCATTCATAACAGCTTTGTTGACATTGTGATCATATGATCACTGTTCGATCACATGGTCCCAGAGCCGCTCAAAGCAGGCAGATACTGGGAGCCACAGTCACGGGAGAGGCACCCTGCACACCTCAAGCTGAATGACATACAGGTATGGGAACCAGAAAAAAACAAGAGTTATGGCCGCACACCACCACAGAACGTAATCCAAGCAAAAAAATCTTTTATTTCTCAAATGTCAAGTAGACAGCACCAAGGACTAAAAGGCTGTTTAAGTGCTTATTCATAATATGAAGGTACATGATCCAACCTACCCTCCCTCCCGCAGTAAATGTACTGTGAGTGGACGGCAACTGGTTAATATAATGATACTCATAACCTGCCTACAAATGACATACCTAACTATGACTATCCACAGCATGTCACTTATAAATGTTATTTTTTCTTTTGTGATATAGTACCAACATTTTACACATTGTATTAACCATTTCAGCTCTCACACCTTTACACCCACTTTAAACAAAATCAATTTTTACATTTCTGCTATGGCCCTGTTTATTCAAGAAAAGGTAAGTTGTATAGAAAGCTGACAATCCCTGCAGGATGGATCAGATCCATCCTGCGGGGATTGTTGGCTTGCTTTACAACTTACCTTTTTGTGGAGCGGGTCCGGTGTCACCCCTGTGCAGTTTTGAGATGGGAAACAGCTCTTATAGTTTGAACACTGTTTGTGTGGAAGTAAATTAATGTTTTGACTGACATTCTGCGGTTTAGCAACAAGATGTCACTGTTTTTCTAACACAGCCTCAGACTGCATAGATATTTGTATTTTCATGAAGAGGTGGGGTTTTGCACACAGAGTTGGAGAGAACAGGAAGGAGAGAGAGAGGCCATGTTTTGGAGCATGGTGAATGGGGGGATATGTGAGCTGAGAATCTGATGACATCCAGGTGTGAAAGGTCCCTCAGTAACCAGAGATTGCTGCCAGGAATGCTGATGAGATTGCTGCCAGGAATGCTGATGAGATTGCTGCCAGGAAGCTGATGAGATTGCCCAGGAATGCAGAGATTGCTGCCAGGAATGCTGATGAGATTGCTTCCAGGAAGGCTGATGAGAGCAGAGGAACTAAGCAACAATACGGCAAGACCGCATGCTTTTGTTGAGAGACATTGCTGTTGTCACCAGCGGATGAAAAACAACCCGGGTCGGTAAGATTGTGCACGTACCTCATTTCAGTGTTGCTTGAGACTGAGTACAAGGGTCTGTCAGGCCACAAGTGTTGTTACTAATTATTGGAGACTCCACAACTTAAAGTGACATTTCACATTGGAGAGCTGATAAAATCCTACAAACTCAAGCCAGACTGGCGTTTTGCTCAGAAGGAATACTCAGGGTGCTACAGGACCAGTTATGGGAGAGGGAATACTGTGATTTGTGTAAGATTTTGCTGCACCGCAGAATCTATACCGTACACCCATACACTGATTCCTGCTCTTTTAGGGTAATAACAGGTAAGGTGTGGCAGCTTTATTTGTGCCCGCCAGTTACTTTCTACCTTCATCATCAGAATGCTGTGCAGCACAAGGGTCTCAGCCTTTGGGCTGGGTGTATGTAAATTTATTGTATGTTTCCAGCTGTTTATTTGCCACATCTAAGTAAACGTTTCTGTTGTGGCAAAAGCTGGTGTTGGGGTTGCTTTCCTCGTTTGTGACTTCACTGTATCCTGGGGAGTACGCGGCTTACACTGTCGGTGTCACCCGGTGCGGAACGCACCCCGCACCTGCCTCGGGATGCCACTGCATACTGTATATACAATCTGTAGGGGCAGTGCTGGAGTGAAGGTGAGTACTGCAATACAAGCTGCTTTTATTTATTTTAAATAGGTCTAAGCTTACTTTTTTTAACTTATAGTGGGGTTGAGCTTAAGCCCTCATGCACACGGGACGTTTTGATAACGCTGGTAACGTTAGCTGTGTAAAGTCACGTTAAAAACAAGAGTTTTTCAGCGTTTGTTTTAGCATTTTTGCATTAGTGTTTACCGGCGTTTTGCGGGTGAATTTTACCTGCGTGTTTTCAGTGTTAGAGCGTTTTTGCAGCTAAAAAACTCCTCTAGAAACCCACTAGTCCTGAGTTTTTTTTCCAGCCAAAAATTGTCCCAGTCAAAAAACATTGATTTACAGTCTATGTGTGCATGGGCACATAGGATAACACGCTGGGGGGTTACTAGCTGTAACAAAAACATCAAATGCCAAAAACAGCTGCTGTAAAAACGTACAGTGTGCATGAGGTTTTAGGTTGGGTTCGCATATGTGCGGGTGGTGCTGCTGCGGATCTGCACGAAAAACCATGCAACCTCACAGAGGAATGCGGACCAGCGGGGGGTACCATTAGTTCTAATGGCACGCTGCCCGCACTGGAAACCGCAACCGTACTGGGAACCGAGGTTCCCGTGCGGGCTGTGTTTTCAGAAGAAGTGCAGGGACTTTTTCCCTGCGTGTGACGGGGCACAGGAGTCCATTCAAATGAACGTGACCCGCACGGCTACATATATGTAAACCAGGGATTAACCTACTTTGGGGCAAATACTGGTATGTACACTTTAATGCAGTAAGTAAAATGTTGGCACTCTATGTTCAGGGCAATCATATTTTTTTTAGAGGAACGCTGTAGCTGTTCTCAGTTGGATGTATGTTTATGTACTAAAAAAAAAAAAAATAATAATAATATAAAAGGTTTTCAGACTCTTTTTGTGGCGGTATATATCCAACATGCAACAAAAGGCTGACCCATAGTAAGGGCTACAGTCCACATGAACTTGGAAATAGTTTCTTTAGTCCATGTAATATAGAATGGCTTCTTCTGTGTGTGACCAATGCTTAAAGGTCATCCCTAATTATTTTTTGGAAGGCTCAACACACGTATTGTTCTGCTGCTTTCCTATTCCCAGCTCACCAAACTCTTTGTTCGCATTAATTACATATAGATGATGCACACATGCTGCGTTCAGCTTCTTTGTATCCCTCTATCACAAAAGCAGAGAAGGTAGGAGGTGTAACTACGTAATGTGGCTGTTAAGACAGATAGAAAGGAAAAAGCACCTGTGAGACCATGAGCAAATAGCACTGCCAGGCAGCATCAGACGACTAGTCAATCTGTGAACCTATCCAGAGCACAGTGGGGTTGGTTTTATAAAGGCAAATAGGCTGCTCACTTTGCAAGTGAAGTTACATTTGGCTTAGAAAATTTACTTTGCAAAGGATACCCAGTCACATGCAAAGAAACGTTAAGGCTCCATGTACACGGGACACTTCTGAACGATGGAAACTGGCTGCTGGAAAATGTAGGTTAAAAAAAGTCTGTTTAGCTGCGTTTGCATACTGTGTTTATACGCATTTATGAGTGTTTGCATTTAGAAGCGTTTTTTGATTATAACCTCAGGAGACCTTCCAAAATGCCCAGAATCCACTGAAAAACAGTAAAAAAACAGGGGCGGACTGACCATTTGGAAACCCGGGCACTGCCTGAGGGCCCGGGGTCAGTAGGGGGCCCCATGAGATATGCCCCTGGTACCTTTTTCATAGGCTTTTTTGAGTTTGGGCAAGGACACAGGGGCCCCATGATCCCCTATTGCCGGGAGCCCCATGAGTTGTCAGTTTGCCCCTGGTAAAAAATTAACTATTTCAGACATTTGAGAGAAGCAAAGAGCAGTATTTGTTGAGATTAGCTGTATTTTTTTTTTCTGTGGTGTTTGGATGTGTTCCAGCTCATTTCTGTGCAGGAATTATTGCAGCAGTGTCTAACATGTTTTCTTTCATGCAAAACCTCAAAGTATGGTGTACCGGGTCCATTTGAATATCAGGAAAACGCTTTGCATGCATTTTTTTTCACGATAAAAAAAGGCTCTGGACAGCATCTGGAAATGGAAGAGTTAAAAACATTTTCAAACACAAACGCTATAAACGCGGTTAGCCACGTTTACAAGCATTTGGCGTTTGAAATGCAGATAAAATCTACTCCTGAATGCAAGTTTACTGCGTTCAAAAAAACGACTGTAAACTCCACTGCCTGTAAACGACTGTAAATGAAGATGTGTACATGGACACATAGGAGAACATTAGGGTGAATTTAGGGGATGCTGAAAAAAAAGCTGAACAGCTCCTAAACGTGAGTTTATCAGCTGCAGTGTACATGAGCCCTAAAAAAGTATTTTTGCTTGCACATGATTGGATGATGGATGGATTCCTTAGTGCTTAGTGATTGTGGTAACATTTTACTTTGCAAAGAACACTCAGTAACATGCAAAGAAAAAAAAAAAAGTAATTTTTGCTTGCATGTGATTGGATGAGATTGGAGCTCCCATCATCCAATGTTCACTACGTTCTAGGGCAAATTCCCATGCAAAGTGAACAGTCTATATGCCTTACTCTAGGTTCACACCTAAGCGTTTTCTGCAGTGTTTTGCAGAAACACAATTCAGTCTATTTAACTTGATTTCCTAAGGGGCATGTTCACATCTTTGCATATTCACCAGGTGCATCTTTTTGAAAGGGTCAGGGACTTTTTGGAATCGCAAAAAGTTTTTAGTTCTGTAGACGTTGATGGACATGCTGTTGAAAAGAATATATTGTTTTTGCTGCATTTGTTTCCATGTTTTTGATGCGTTTTTGATGCATTTTGTGTTTTAAATCCGCCTAGCAAAAAAAAAAACAAAAACTCAAAATGCATTAAAAACACGGCAAAAATGAAACGCAACACAGAAATGGCTCAAATGCAACCTGCATAGGTGTGAACCTAGCCTTAGTGATTCAATCCCATTGAATACAATGCAGTACATGCAGTACACTGAAAGTGTTAATAACATTGCATTCGCTGCAATAACACTGCATTCACTATATCTGGTCTCCCCGAACCCTGCATTCACTATATCTGGTCTCCCCGGACCCTGCATTCACTATATCTGGTCTCCCCGGACCCTGCATTTCACTATATCTGGTCTCCCCGGACCCCCTGCATTCACTATATCTGGTCTCCCACAGTACACACAACATGGAAATGCAAATATTTTAGTAAATATAAACTGCTAAATACCTTTTCTCATCAGTTAGAGCAGTCTTGTGACTTCTATCAGTGTCCAGCCGAGCACATGTTACAGTTTGTAGGATGAGTTTTCATTCTGCTGTAGGAGGATGCAGAACCGCTGACCTCTGTCTGGACAGTGCTGATTGGCCCTGTGCTGATCACATACACTCTCCCAAGAAAACAAAAAACCTCTCTACCAATACACACCAAACTGAGCATGTACAAAGCGTCTCCACACGATATGTCTTATCAGGACATAAGAGGGGGACACTGGAAGAAGGGGAGGATCAGAGAAGATGGGAACAAACAGCCTTTTTACACAATGCAGAGGATTTACCCCTTAGGTTCCACAGTGAGTATAACAAGCATGCTTTACTGCATATACAGACTGATTGTGGGTTTAGTAACACTTTAAAAATTACCTTAAATATAAATATTATATATAATCCCTTGCAGCCAGATTTAGCATCAATTTGATAACTTCTGTAGCATGGGGCTTCTCCCTCCAGCCTGCAGGGAGGTGATAGAGAGCCTGTGCTGAGATCTCCCCTCAATCTCAGCATGGAGCTGCTAAGTATTGAGGGCAGATTGCCCTTCTTCCTTTCTCCCATTGTCATGTGACATGTCACATGACTAGAGGGGTTAGGAATAAGTGGCATCTTCATTGCAGACAGGCACAGGGCAGGTGTGTTATCTTTGAATACAAGGGGGAAGGGGAGGACAATTTGGCTCAGACCTCACCCCTCCTCCTCAAACCTCCCGCCCCCTGCAACATCCCTCCTCATCCCCCCCCCCCCCCCCCCTTCTCAGATATCCTTTTTCTCCTCTTCAGACCCCCCCTTCTCAGATATCATTCTTCTCCTCCTCAGATCCTCTTCCCCCCAGACATCCTTCTTCTCCTCCTCAGACCCCCCTCTTCCCCCAGACATCCTTCTTCTCCTCCTCAGACCCCCCCCTTCCCCCCAGACATCCTTCTTCTCCTCCTCAGACCCCCCCTTCCCCCCAGACATCCTTCTTCTCCTCCTCAGACCTCCCCTTCCCCCCCAGACATCCTTCTTCTCCTCCTCAGACCTCCCCTTCCCCCCAGACATCCTTCTTCTCCTCCTCAGACCTCCCCTTCCCCCCAGACATCCTTCTTCTCCTCCTCAGACCTCCCCTTCCCCCCAGACATCCTTCTTCTCCTCCTCAGACCTCCCCTTCCCCCCAGACATCCTTCTTCTCCTCCTCAGACCCTCCCCTTCCCCCCAGACATCCTTCTTCTCCTCCTCAGACCCCCCCCCCCTCAGACATCCTTCTTCTCCTCCTCAGACCCCCCCTTCCCCCCCAGACATCCTTCTTCTCCTCCTCAGACCCCCCCCCTTCCCCCCAGACATCCTTCTTCTTCTCCTCCTCAGACCCCCCCCCCCCTCAGACATCCTTCTTCTCCTCCTCAGACCCCCTCCCCCTCAGACATCCTTCTTCTCCTCCTCAGACCCCCTCCCCCCTCAGACATCCTTCTTCTCCTCCTCAGACCCCCTTCCCCCCCCTCAGACATCCTTCTTCTCCTCCTCAGACCCCCTCCCCCCTCAGACATCCTTCTTCTCCTCCTCAGACCCCCCCTTCCCCCCCAGACATCCTTCTTCTCCTCCTCAGACCCCCCCCCCCTCAGACATCCTTCTTCTCCTGCTCAGACTCCCTCCCCCCCAGACCTCCCCCGTCTCCTCGAGCTTTCTTTCGGTGGTATTTTGATTGCCTGTGCATTTTTTATTTTTTGCGCTGTAAAAAAAAAAGCTGACAATTTAGAGAAAAAAATATATTTTTGACTTTTTGCTATTTACCACTTGCCTACTGGGCAGTTACGGTATACCCCTTCCTTCCCAGGCAAATTTTCAGCTTTCAGAGCTGTCTCACTTTGAATGACAATTGCGTGGTCATGCAACACTGTACCCATATGAAATTGTTATAATTTTTTTCACACAAATAGAGCTTTCTTCTGCTGGTATTTAATAGCCACAGGGTGTTTTTTTTTTTTTTTTTTTTTCTATTTAAAAAAATAGAGCAAAAAAAACAAGATTCTATTAAAAAAGTCTGCAAACAGGTCATTTTTCTTCTTCGCTGATGTGCGCTGATGAGGCTGCACTGATAGGCGGCATTGACAGGTGGCACTGATGATGCGGCACTGCTGGGCGCAGATGGGCGGCACTGCTGGGCGCAGGTGGGGCGGCACAATTGGGCAGCACTACAGGGCACTGATCATCAGGCCACTGATCATCAGTGCCGATCCCTTGGCTGACAACTGCCAGTTCTCAGCAGTACTTTCCCAAAAGTTGTGACAGCGTGAGGAAAGTACAGCCAATAACCAGAAACACACGGACAAGGCTGATCACGTGAGAAAAGGACGCTGTGATTGTTTACCATATCGGGTGATCAGTTGTGTCCATAGGACACAGCCATCACCGGTGGCGCCAGGTGTGCACCGATGGGGGTGTGCAGGGGGGGCGTGTTCTGGAATGACGTCCATAGATGTCGTCCCAGAACCAGAGGACTGTGCTGTAGCCATCCTTTGGCTATAGCATGATAGGGAACTGGTTAAACATGTCCAGGAAAAAAATATTTAAAAATCAAATTTCGTTATAAATTTATGCCAAAAAATATTCTGCTACATGTTTTTGCTACAAAAAAAATCCCAATACGTGTAAATTGGTTTACGTGAAAGTTATAGCATTTACAAATGGAGGTATATATACTGGGATTTTTAACTGTTTTTAATTTTAATTAGTAATGGAGGCGATCAGCGACTTATAGCAGGACTGCGGGGCTGCAGCGGGCATTCTTACACTGGGGGGGAACTGACTTGGTGTCACTGACATCCCCAGTGACACCAATGCAGTGATCAGTGCTAAAAAAAGCACTGAGACTGTACTAATGGCACTGGGCAGGAAGGGGTTAACATCTGGGGCTATCAAAGGGTTAACTGTGTGCTGGGTGTGTTTAACTATGGAGCTGTGTCTGTGTGCTTCACTGTAAGCTGTGCACAACCATTCAAAGCAGTGTGCACGAGCTGACAGAGAAGAACTGTTTTGTTTACTAACAGTTCTCCCCCTTGTCAAAGATCCTTGCCAATCACTGGTCGGGACCCGATTGACAGTCCTGGCCACGAATGATGTCGTGGGTAGGGTGCGCACGCCCCCTGCCTGGAAATGCAAAATCAAGTATATATACGTGATTTTGCACACCCTTGCCGCCCTGTAGCAGTATTTCTGCTATAGGGCGGACGGGAAGCAGCATTTATTATTTTTTTGTAAAGGGTGAACTAATCCTTTGCGTTGCTCCAAATGTAACACTGTTTGCATAGCTTGTACTTTGTACATTCAAGCAAATGTTTGAACTTGCAAATAGTGCTTTGGCTAAATTCATACTGACTTACCAAAAATGTAGGGAAAATGGTTATGTATATTTCTTCCATTTTATGCATCTTTTATTGCACTTGTAAAATGCAGGTCAACGTATAGACACATTTAAAAAAAAATTGTGTTTTTTGTGTCCTGTGCAATGCTACTTTGACCTGCATTGCCTTAAAATTTTAATGCAATGCAGGTCAACGCAGTCTAGTGCCTTCCTAGTTAGCTAGGAGGAACTAGAATCTAATTGTCAGAGAGGAGGGCTGAGTAGCAGTCTGGGTGTGATATTCAGGAAGTTAAATTTGGGTCAGGGTTGAGAGGCTCTGCAAGCCAGCCCCTCTGGAATTTCCCCCTGCTCTAGAGCTTTGGAGGAAGGTCTAGAGGAAGTGGGTGGATCTGGGGAGTGTGTGGCTTGCACTCTTGAAAGACCCTTGCTAGGAGAAGAAGGGAGGAGATAGATGAGAGATGTTGAGGTGCAGGAGCCTGAGAGGAAGCTCAGGCTGGAAGGGGCTTGCCTCCAAGAGTGATGCTGTAGAGGAGAAAAGCTGTGGACTTCACTGGCCCCCTGAGAGAGGACCACCTGACAGCTGGGAAGGAGTGGCCCAGCTTAAAGGCCTGGTAGCAGCCACCTACCCAACAGCAGCACAGGAGAAAGACTCAGTGAGTACCTCTACACCCCCTGGGCCAGAAAGGGGAGAGAGCATTTGGGTGGGAAACCTAGCTCACTCTGTAGCTGGGGCTATTGCCCTTCTATTAGCAACTACTGGATTCCCTGTCCGGGAATTCTTCCATACAGCCGGATCGAGGAGCATCTGGGGTTAGGAGATGCTGACTTGTCCTCCAGAAGAGGATTTTTGCACATAGGACTTGTAATATAGTTTCAGGAAGTCTGTCTTCAGTTGCCATAACCTTGGGTATCCCATATACCTCTTACCCTATCCAAGTTTTCAAACCCCTAATAAAACTTCAAAACAAAGCTCAAGGACTGGTTTCTGTCTCCTGGTACAAGTCTGAATGGAAGATGCATGTTGCCTGGCTGTGCAGGACTATAGGGGGAACCAAATCTTCAGTGACCCTAAGGGGGTAGTGCTACAGCAGCATAAGGAGCTCCCCTTCCAATCAGGAAAAAAAACTGTGTGAAAGGAGCCTTACGATGTTTGGCACTGCAGTGTTTTGAAAACCAACAAAATCGATAAATGGCAGATCTGTTGATCCTCCTAAATATATCCATGAGTATGTTTTCCATTCCACAGAGAAGCAAGTCATTCATAAATTGTGATTGGCTGGATTCCTATATTGCCAAATTCTCCATAGATCAGATCTACATGAAAATATTCAGGCAAACTTAAAAATTATGAATTTGCAATTCCAATCTTCATTACCAGAGACCTGAAACTACAGTTCGCAAACTTACCCCTTAGTCATTGTTTATTTGCAGAGTGAATAACCTTTGCTACCTTCTAGTTATTTGCTGAGTAAAGGGGGTGTGATAGTCAGGATAGTCTCTGCACAATATATAAAGATCTCTGAGTGAGATGATCTGATCGGTCGCACTGTAAAGTTCTGTGTTACGGAAAAACTTCTACGACACTTGATAGTATATCATCTTAAGGTATGTACTATATATCCTTCCATGCTTTAAATTCATAGCTATGCTCCCATATTGTATTTCTTTGCTTCTCTAATTTTAGCCACTTCAGTTCTCATGCCTGGATACCCGTTTAGGGTGAATTGACACTATATGCGATGACAGATGTTGCACTTCATGGTAAAACGTCTGTCACCACAGGGTCACACAGGAAACAATCGTTTCCTATGCGTCCCATTCATACTGCAATGGAGCCTGTGGCTGAGTAGCAGTCTGCTGAGATTTTATTGCATTTTATCGCAGCGCACTGTACCTAATCACACAACAGTGTTCAGCAATGCAGCGTTTTGCACTGCTCTACATTGCTGTGACTGTAGTGTACACTTTGTACACTTCAAATAAGGCTCCTAGATTGTAAGCTCTAATGAGCAGGGCCCTCTATTTCCTCTTGTACCAAATTGTATTGTAACCAGGGGCGAACTGACAACTCATGGGGACCCCCGGGCAATAGGGGATCATGGGGCCCCTGTGTCCTTGCCCAAACTCAAAAAAAGCCTATGAAAAAGGTACCAGGGGCATCTCATGGGCCCCCTACTGACCCGGGCCCTTGGGCAGTGCCCGAGTTTCCAAATGGTCAGTTCGCCCGATTGTAACCTTCATTTTGTAAAGCACTGCGTAAACTGTTGGCGCTAAATAAATCCTGTATAATAATAATACAAAACAAAAAAAGGGAGCTGTGTGAGGTGTTGAATTGCACACCACACTGCCCCTAGTGCAGATGGCAAAGGAGAGCTGTCATAGGGGAAAAGTGAGAAGTGCTGTGGCAGCTCTCTGTTGTGTGTGAATTTGCCTTTATGGTCCACAGCAATGTTTACATTTTCACTCTCTGGGCCTATTTATCCTGTGATACATTTTGTCATTTGTTACAATAACAAAGTAACACATACATTGTTTTTTTATGGACAAACTAGGCTTTTTTGTCAATAGTGTTCTGCAAAAGGTGCTTTATTTTGTGTCCTCCAGAGGATTTACCCCCCTTCCTGACCAGGCCATTTTTTGCGTTACGGCGCTGCATTACGTCCTTTTTTCCCCATGAATAGAGCTTTATTTCGGTGGTATTTGATTGCCTGTGCGTTTTTTATTTGTTGTGCTAAAAAAAACAAACAATATTTTTGACTTTTTGCTATTAACCACTTGCCAACCGTGCTATAGCCGAATGGCGGCTACAGCGCGGTTGTCCAGTTCTGGGAGGGCGTCATATGACATCCTCCCAGAACGCGCCCTCCCACATGCCCCCTGGGTTGCTCCCCCGGCAATCTCTGTGATCACACACAGGTGATCACGTGGTGTGGTAAAATCACAGCGGCCTTTTACCACGTGATCAGCTGTGTCCAATGACACAGTAGATCACCGGTAAGGGCAGTTGCCGGTTATCAGCTGCACTTTCCTCATGCTGTCACAAGTACCCAGCAGTGCCACCTACCTGTGCCCATCAGTGCCCAGCAGTACCACCCACCAGTGCCCAGCAAAACACCCTTCAGTGCCACCAGTCAGTGCCCACCCATCAATGATGCCCATCAGTGACCGCCTATAAGTGCCCAGCAGTGCCGCCTATCAGTGCCCACCATTGTTGCATATCAGTGCCCAGCAGCATCAGTGCCAGCTCATCAATGTTGCCTATCAGTGCCACCTCATCAGTGCCGCCTATCAGTGCAGTCTCATCAATGCACATCAGTGAAGGTGAAAAATTATCTGTTTGCAAAATTTTAAAATAGAAACAAAGAAACTTTTTTCTTCAAATTTTTTTGCTCTTTCTTTCTTTATAGCACAAAAAATAAAACACCCAGCAGCGGTTAAATACCACCAAAAGAAATCTCTATTTGTGTGAAAAAAATTATAAAAATTTCATATGGGTACAGTGTTGCATGACCGCACAATTGGCATTCAGAGTGTGACAGCACTGAAAGCTGAAAATTTGGCCTGGGCAGGAAGGGGGTATAAGTGCTCAGTAGGCAAATGATTAAACATGTCCAGTAAAGTTTTGCTAAAAAAAATCCCAATATGTCTAAATTAATTGGTTTACGTAAAAGTTATAGTGTTTACAAATGGCATTATATATACTGGGCTTTTTTTTTTTTCTTTACTAGTAATGGCAGCAGGCAACTTAGAGAGGGAGTGCGGTGAGCATTCTGACACGGGGGGGATTGAATTGGTGTCACTGACATCCCCAGTGACACCAATACAGTGATCAGTGCTAAAAAAAAACAACACTGACACTGTACTAATGGCACTTGGCAAGAAGGAGTTAACATGTGGGGCGATCAAAGGGTTAACTGTGTTTTACATCATGTTCTGTGTTAGTGCTTTATTGTAAGTACACTGCAGTACAGGAGCTGACAGGGAGGACAACTGTTTTGTTTACTAACAGTTCTCCCCAACCTCCCCCCCCCCCCTCACCCCGTTGAAGATCCTTGGCAATCACTGGGCGCCGGCAGTAATCAGCGGCCAGGACTCGGTGACTGACAGCCGCGGCTGCAATTGGCGGCGTGGGTAGGGCGCTCGCACCCCCTACCCGGAACTTTCAAAATCACATATGTGATTTTGCGCACAGCTGCCACCCTGTAGCAGTATTTCTGCTATGGGGCAGAGCTAAAGCGGTTAAAGTGATACTAAAGTCTTGGGGTTTTTTTTCTTAAAAATAACAAACATGTTACACTTACCTGCTTTGTGCTGTGGTTTTGCACAGAGCAGCCCTGATCCTCCTCTTTTCGGGTCCCCTGCCGGCGCTACGGCCCCTCTCTCCTGTCGGGTACCAGAGCAGACACACTCCCAAGCCACTACTCTGCGTATCTATTCACACACAAAGCCGTGGCTCAGCCCCACCCCTCGCTCTCCTGATTGGCTCACTGGCTGCGATTGACAGCAGCGGGGGCCAATGGCTCCCTCTGTTCCCTCAGCCAATCAGGAGTGAGAGTCCCTGGAGAAATGAGGCTCTCATGGACATTGTTGGATCAAGATGGCGCTCAGGCATGTGATGGGGGGCGCTGCACACAGAACATTTTTTACCTTAATGCATGAAGGTAAAAAACCTTGAGACTTTAGAACCATTTTAATCTATAGACAAAAAAGTAACAAAGCTAAAAAAAAAATGCACTTTGTTCTAACTTTGATCATTATTTGTTAAATTATTAGGGCTGGTTAGGGCTAACTAGGAGGTTTAAATATTATTACATATTTAATGGTTACGCCTTTTTTAACAGTGGCGTCCCTAGGGTTGGTGTCACCATGGTGCAGGATCATGCAGGATCTCTCTCTCTCTGCCCCCCTCCTCTCTGCCCGACCCCACTCTCTCTCTGCCCCCCCTCTCTCTCTGTCTCTGCCCCCCCTCTCTCTCTGCCCACCCACCTCTCTCTCTGCTCCCCTCTCTCTTCTCTGCTCAAACCGCAACTCAAACTCAACCCACTCAACGCCCCACACAACCCTCTCTCTCTCATCTCTGGCCCTCCCCCCTCTCTCTCTGCCCCCCTCCCTCCTCTTCTGTCCCCCCTCCCCTCTCTCTCTGCCCCCCTCCCCTCTCTCTCTGCCCACCCTCTCTCTCTCTTCTTCTCTCTCTCCTCTCTGCCCCCCACCCCCTCTCCTCTCTCTCTCTCTGCCCCCCCCCTCACTCTCGCGCTCATCTATCTCTCTCTATCTCTCGTCTCTCTCCTCACCCCCCCTCGCTCGCTGCTGCCCCCCCCTCTCTCGCTCCTCTCATCTCTGCCCCACATCTCTCTCGCTCTCTGCTCTGCCCCCCCCTCGCTCCTCTCTCTCCTCTCCCCCCCCTCTCTCTCTCTCTGCCCCCCCCTCCTCTCTCTCTCTGCCCCCCCCCTCTCTCTCTCTCTCTCTCTCTCTCTCTCTCTCTCTCTCCTGCCCCCCCCCCCTCTCTCTCTCTCTCTCTCTCTCTGCCCCCCTCCTCTCTCTCTCTCTCTCTCTGCCAGCCCCCCTCTCTCTCCTCTCTCTCTCTCTCTCTCTGGCCCCCCTCTCTCTCTGCCCCCCCCCCTCTCTCTCCTGCCCCCCCCCCTCTCTCTCTCTGCCCCCCCTCTCTCTGCCCCCCTCGCTGCCACCCCCTCGCTCTCATCTCCTCTCTCCATTCTCTCTCTCTCTCCTCTCTCGCTCTCTCTTCTATCTCTCTCTCTCTCTCTCTCTCTCTGCCCTCCTTTCCCCCTCCCCCTCTCCCC